ACTTTTGGAATGGAAATGTCTGTCTTGTGCCATTGAATGTTGGAAGCGTTTAACTTTCTTTTCACAGAGGCTTGCAGCTGAGAGTTTGTCTTAAATCTCAGAGGAGACTTGACTGGACATTTTGGCAATGCTGAAACTGTTAGGACTTCGGCAACCGCTCTTAGAGACGGACTACATGCCTTTTTTGTGAAGAGATGTACACAAGTCTTTGGGGGGCCAGAGAGGAAATGTTACAGTTTGTGCCTAGATGTCCCCCAAAGCCTCACACAGTTACAGGTGGGGCTCTTTCAGAAGTGGCTGGATCTGGGGTGTGTGATGCTGGGATCAAGACTGCCTGGTTACTGACTGATTTGAGGCTGCTTCACCCTGGGTGTGAGTGCAGCTAGCCTAGGTGGGATATAAAGGACTGAAAGAGGGTCCTTGCTGGTTCCTGGTTCCTGTTGCTGCTGCAGCTTGTCTGCGCTTCCCCTCCGCCAGGCCGCTCCGCCTTGGAGCCAGCCAGCTGTACTGAAACCTCTGCAAACTGTGAGCTAAAAAAAACCTGTCCTCCTCTAACTTTGGGTGTCTGCTATTTTGTCTCTGCAATGAGAAAAGTGACTAAGACGGGGTCTCCAAGACAGTCCTCACGGTTAAATGCTAATGAAATCATCAGGAACTGGAAACAGCGGCCCTCTTCACCCCTTCTGCTCTTCTCCGAGCTCCTTCTTCAGTGCTGGCCCCAGGCCCCTGTGCATGGAGGCCTGGCTGCGGCTGCCCATTTGTGTTCGGTCATCTGCGTGGTGATCTTGGAACATTTGCTGTTTCCCTCAGGACTAAAGCACAGAAGCTGATGGGCTCGTCGGTCAGCTGACGCTGCATTCCGCCTCAAACTGTAAAGCCAGTTGCGTGTTCCTGGACCTGTCCATGTTTGTTATATGTTTAGGTGCTTAATGTCAGGTACGTGTGTGTGTGTGTGTGTGTGTGTGTGTGTGTGTGTGTGTGTGTATGTGAGATTGTTATAGCTGACCAATGAATTGGCCCCTTTTCTTTATAAAATGATCTTCTTTTCCTTCTGGGACCGTTTCTGACCTCAAGCCTGCATGACCAATGCAAGTATAACCATCCCTGCTTTCTTGACCTAGCCCAGAGCAGCAGTTTATAGAGTAGGCTTCTGGGCTTTCCTTCCTGTTTGCCCCGGGCCGGACCCTGGCTGTGGCTGGCCTCCCTGTCCTGGTTAGAGGTGCTGTCACAGGATCATCACCAACACCGCAGCTGGGCTCCACCCCCACTGCCCCCCCATGCTCAGGCGGAGCCAGGCGTGGGAAGTCTCCAAAGTGCCCTTGCTCCGTGAGTTGTAAGAGCGGCGATGCAGTGTGAATCTTTAAAATCGTCACTGACATCAGTGCATCTAGAAAAAGCTGAACATCCACACAAAACAGTTTGGTAGTTTCCATACTTAAATTAAATAAGCAAAACCCGGAGCAACTTGCTATTTTAAAGAAAAGTCTGGCAGGGATCCGACAGTGCCAGCAGGTATCTGTTACCCGTCATTCCGTCCTCTGTCCTCCCTGAGCCAGGGCACCCAGGTCAGTGGAGCCTCAGGTTCATGTGATTTGCTGAAGATCCATCCCCTCAGAGCGAGGGGCTTGGGGACCCACAGGGAGTGTGGATATTGGGCAAGTAGCCCCTTCGCTGTCAGCACCGTGAGGTCCAGCAGCTGGAGGGAAGGAGGAGGGGCCATGGGACCCGGGTCAGGAAGGAGACGTGCAGAGACCCCAGAGGACGCTGCCAGACAGCCGTGCTCACCTTCAAGGGAGCAGGGAGTTAAGTCCGTGTGTCCTGTCGCTCCCCGTTGTATAGACCCAAACGCCCTCAGCGTTTGCTTGGCAGAAAGGGAGATGTGGAGACCAAATTGACTCCATTTTGCTAATTACCTAGTTCTCGGAAAAACCCATGACTGTTCCTGTAAGTTGTCATCAGATGTTCTCTTTTGTTAATCTTGTTAGGACAAGGAAGGACATCTGGCCTGGGCCAATTAAGCATTGAGAAAGGCACACACTTGCAAAATATTAACCAATCAAGCATTGACCCGTTTAGCAAGCCCCTAGGTCTGCTTCTCTGCTAGTATAAAAGGCTGTTTGAAATCAGTCTCGGGGCTCTCGGTACGAATCTGCTGCGTCGGTGAGGTCCGAGAGTCCAGGCTGAGCTTGCAATAAACTCCTCATGTGATTGCATCGGACTTGACTCCTTGGTGGTCTTTGGGGATATCGTGATCTGAGCACAACAGGAGACAGCGGAGTGCAAGACAGTAACGTGAGAATTGCTGGCTGGAGGACCTAGGGACTTAGCACGGAAATGTTCGTGAAGGCTGCGAAGCCTGAGCCCAGGCTGGCGGGCCCAGCCCCTCCAGGCAGAGTCCTGCAGAAGGAAGGCTCAAGGAGGGCTGGGAAGGGGCTGCCTGCACCCAGCTGGAAGACGCGCGGAGGATTCCTCTGGTGCCTGCGAGAGAGACCCAGGCTGGTGGTGCGAGACGCCGAGAGTGTGCCATGGGCTCTAGCACTCTGGATGAGGGCGGCGCTGCAGAGGCTGGAATGGGTGTAAAAATAACGAGGGAAGAGGGCTCAAGAATCCCAGGTTGCTGCCGGGCTGACCTGGAGCCACTACCCAGCAGAGTGGAGGGTGGACTGGCGACTCTGGGTGCAGCAGGCTTGGACCAGGAAGGGAGGCAGCTTGGAGACTGCCAGGCACCCAAGCTGGCCTTGGGGACCCACCTGAGTGCTCTGGACTTGTGTCCCTGAGTGTGCATGGTGGTTTTCTACCCCGCGCGGCACTTGTCAGCGTTCCGGGGGTCACCAGTGCTTATCTTTGTCCCGCACTGGGTGCAGATGAAGGAGGCTTTTGCCAGCAGCAAGTGCGGTCCCCAGGGAGAAAGTCCGGGCAGGGTGTGTTAGTTGCTCCTTGCCATTTCTCAAGGGCCGTGCATGTGGCCCTTTTCCGTAGAGACGCCACGTTAGGTTCGGAGCCAGGGCTGCCACGGACCACAGCTTTGACCAGTTCACCTTCCCATGTCAGGTGAGGGCAGCGTTGGTTTCTCCGGGGGCTCTGCTGGGCTGTGGGTGTTGTCTTCCTGCCTGTCTTTCGCGGTCCTCTGTGTGTTTGTGTCCTGATCTCCTGTGCTCCCGGAGAGCTGCAGCCCTGGCCCTGGACCGCAGCTCTGGCCGCTGTGGCCTGCTGCTGCTGAGTCCTTTGGTATCCAGGGCGACCAGCCCCAGGTCCCCTTCCTGCCGATACCAAAAATAGGCGCCGTAATGTTGGGCTCTGACGTGTGCACCGCACACTGTCTGCCCATCGTCTCCAGATGAGTTCACGTTTTTGAAGCCAAGCATTTGCTGGTACATTTTAGATGTGCGCAGTGATGACACTCGTCATAGGGAAGTTTGGGTTGAATTTGTGGGTGCAGAGCCTGTGGCTACAGAGGGCTGACTGTAGTTGCTAAAAACAAGAGAAAAGTGCATGTCGTGCTCAGAAAGCTTAGTCTGAGGCATCGTCCTGGTTTCCACTGGGTCTCTTGTTCCTGGCAAGCGTGACTGGACCGTTGACTTTCTGCCACTCTGCTGTGCCAGAGATAGTGCTCGCTAGTCCCGCTGCTCCTGGCCGGGCCGCAGAGGGAAGCGCCACCCTCGGGTCCTCCTCGGAAGGTGCGGAGTGGAGTTTCCGTTGCTCCAGTACCTTCCACAGGCCGGGCTCTCCATGCTACAGCTCACAGAGAGGTTTTTTTCTTGGGCCACTCTGTGAGCAAAGCTCCCTCTGTCTTGGAACTGTCAAAGGGGCCTCCATGTTGATCCGGCACCCGGCATATGCATGACAGACTTGCAGGAAATGCATCACCCGGAGTGCATTTCAGCCTTGACTTTATCGTCCAGCCTTTCTTCTTCGGTAAAAAATAAACATGTTCCCAGCCAGCAGGCATGGTGCCGGGGGTTAACAGGAGGGAAAGGCCTTCCAGTGCCCGTGAGCGGCCAGGAGCCGCGGAGGGAGTGCAGAGGGCAGGCAGAGGGCTGTCCTCCAGGGCATGGAAAGCCAGCTCCCCCTCTGGGTGGCACTGCCAGGGTGTCAGGCGTAGCCCTGCTGTGTTTGCGGTGCCCAGCTTGTGGGGCCTCCTCTTGTGTCCTGCCTCAGCCTCCTGGAGCCAGGTCGTCACAGCACGGTCCCAGCAGGGTTCTCCCAGAAGCAGGGGTCCTTGCTGGACCAAGAGGACAGGCTTGAGAATCGGTGGCTTAAACTTGGACTCTCCTTCCAAATCCAGAGTGGTGAAACAAATCATAACCTCCTCGCATAGATTTATCACATTGCAAATTAAATATATTAATGATTTCAGTAATTCCATGACCTCTTTTGTTTTGTTTTGGGCTGTACTGGGGATTTGCCTTGAGCTCCGTCCTCATCCTTGTTTTCAGTTTTATTTTTGAGATGATGTCTTGCTAACTGTTAAGTTGCCCAGACTTGTGATCCTCCTGCCTTGGCCTCCCAGAAGGTTGAGATTAGAGGTAGCCACTACCACACCTGGTCAACTTTAGGGCTTTTAATAAGAAAATAGATGTCAAGAAATGTCGCCAAGACAACATCCCTCCTTTTCCGGAGACACGCTGTTATTTCTGCGGCGGTAGGAGGTACCAGTCTGGAGTACACTACCTGTGCAGAACCTCTGAGGGACCAGGGAGCTCCTCAGAGCCCCCAGCTCTGCCCCCAGCTCCGCCGTTGGTCCTTCCCGGAATAAAGCAAGCTCGTGTGCGGAGTAAATGAACATCATGTTCTCAAGTTGCTGCCCGGTGCCCCAGGAGCAGGGACCGGAGGCCTCCGGGCTCTGCTGCAGACCGGTGTGCTGGGGACCCCGGGCGGCCCTTCCGTGCAAGCCCCCTGGCTTCCCAGGCTTCTGTGCGTGGGCGCCTCGGTCCCAGGGCCGTGTGGGTGGAGGTGGGCGTCTGTGTCGGTCACGGCTGTGTGCTGCCCTTCTCCAACAGCACGCACAGCAGTGGAGAGAAGGCCGGGCTGCGCACGGAGAACCTGCTGCTGCGGGGCTGCACCGTCAGGAACACAGAGGCAGTGGCCGGCATTGTCGTCTATGCAGGTAGGCAGGGCCCCTGGCCCCTCGGCCGGCCGTTTGCTCTCGCTGGTGCTCTGTGCTCCAGGCCTTTCCCTGCTTTGTGTCTGGTGTAAGATTTGTCTTTGCCCACTGTAGGGAAAAAGGAAAGAACAAGAGCAGGAGCTCTTCTGACCGCCCCTAACCAAGCATTTCCTCCTGTCATTTTCGCATATTTCTTTCCAGTCCTTTCTCCGGGGCTCTTACATGTGCAGGGTTGATCTTACACCCTGCCGCTGTGACTGAATGTATAGCGTGACCATGGCCCACGGCAGCGGGTAGTTCACTCTGGAGCCTCGTCATGGTCCCTTAACTGCCGGGCTCCGACTCATCCCATCCTTCCCCGCAGGACATGAGACCAAGGCTCTGCTGAACAACAGTGGCCCCCGCTACAAGCGCAGCCAGCTTGAGAGGCAGATGAACGTGGACGTGCTCTGGTGTGTCCTTCTCCTCCTCTGTATGTCTCTGTTTTCAGCCATAGGTAAGTCTCCCGGCAGGGTCGCAGCCTCCAGGTGGGCGAGGTGGGCTGTCCTGCCTGACTCACTGGGTCCCACCCAGAGCTCTGAAGTCAGGACGCAGGTCTCCCTGTCCTTGAGGGCTTTCTTTCCGTGTTGGACAGGCTGTGATGAACAGGCGTGGCAGGGAGGTGTGGCATGGCCCCCAGGACAGGAGCTTCACTTTGTCTCGGGCCTGTCACCCTGCCCCAGGCAGATCACGTGATCCCAGCGCTCCCTGGTAAAAGACAGTGCACAGGGCACAGAAAGGGCTCTGTTTTCAGATAGATGTGGGCGGGGTTTCCTTGAGTGACCTGAAGTCGCTGGCTTCTCGGCTCTGTCCTATGTGAACTTTGGATCTCCCAGAAGGGACCTTAGTGGGCAGCATCCAGAACTCCGCTTGCCTTCGGAGGCTGGGCATTGTGAGGCACAAGTTGGGAATTCTGTCCGGGACTTCACACGCAGCCTGGCAAGTCCTGCATTATGACCAGTGTGCCACTTCACACCAATAATCAGAAACTCTTGGTGTGTGGAAAAGTCCATGTCCAGCCTCCTCCCAGGAGCCCTGTGTGCTTTTGCTTTCTTACATGGCAAGGCAGACCAGTAATGGAGTTGATTGTGGCTAGTCCTAACCCTAAAGATCATCTCCGTTTACACTAGCAGCATTCTTACTTTCCTACCCAAAGGATGACGACGTCCCTTTGAATGTTGCTACAGGACATGGATTGTGGGTACGGCGGCACCAAGAAAAGAAAGCGCTGTTTGCTGTCCCTGAGTCTGACGGTAGCTCTTCGTCCCCGGTCACAGCGGCGGTGTACTCATTTCTGACAATGATTATAGTTCTGCAGGTAACATATTAACTGCCATGAGATCAGTGCTTGACTTTTCTCAGGAGGACTTAAAACGCGCCAGACTCTGCTAAGAATTTCTGCCTCTGGCAGGACCACCACAGAGACATCCGCCTGATGTGTTGGGTTTTTACTCCTCCGCTGTCATTTATCTACAGGGTTATTCCCTGGGTGATTTTCAAATTGAAATTCTCCTTTGCTTTTCTTCGGGGTCTTAATGTTTTAGGTTTTGCCTTGGTTATCATCTCATTTTGCTGTTTTCCCTTCTACTTGTCTACGTGTAGGCGGTGCTGGGGGTCAAACCCAGGCTGTCACCTGAGCCAGGCAAGCCTTCCAGCATGGAGCTCCATTCCTAGCCCTGGGGACTTAGAAATTGCTGTTTCAACATAATTTTCAGATTTACAGAAAAGTTTCAGAGGTGGATACAAAGAGTACGTCTCTCCCCGTTTTTCCCAAACATGAGCATGTCACATTGCTGTGGCCTCCTGTAAGAACCAAGAAACCAAGTTGGCAACTTGCTATCAGCTTCTCTCCCAGACTGCTGCCTTCAGGGCCCAGTTGTCTTTTTCTGTTCTGGGTTTCGGTATCAAGTGTTACATAGCAGCCATCAGTCTTGGTTATCACTATTACTGTTATATCTGGTAGCAGGACTCACCCTGTGCCTCCCTTATAACGCCCAGTCACTAGCTGATAACCCAGGCCCAGAAAGGATGGCCCCAGAGCTCCAGAGAGCAAAGAGGGGCTGCGAGAGTCACCACCAACCTTCTGAGAGGACAGCTTCCAGAAGACATGTGCTTGGCCTCACCCTCTCTTGTCATCTGTGCTTTTTCAACACCAAACAGCCTTATTTAGCTTTCCAAATTAGTCTTTTTCACAAATGCAGATTTTGTTCTAGCCTCAAATTAGGATAATGGTTGGTGTTCATTGACGTGATTCAGATGCCAGGAGAATCCAGTCCACCTGAAAATTATATTCCAGGCTCAAAAACATTAATTCAATACTGTGACCCCACAAAGTAAACAAACATCAATGTTAAGGGAGTTGGTCTTCAGTTCTCAAGAGGTCACGGTGGGTATTTTTCTCGAAGCCTCCTTCCCTTTGTCTTGTATTGAACGAGATCAGAGAAGCAGCCCTTCCGTGCCATCCTCTCTCCTCCACTTGTGCCTGTCTGAGCCATGGGGTTGCATCCACAGGAGAAGGGAAGCCACATCCTGGGCCCAGGGGAAGCTGGGGTGGAGGCTGCTGTGGTCGGAGGTGGCGCTGCTTACAAGGACTCTGACTGTGCTGTCTTTCTTCTCTTTTCTCTCTCTCCTTTCCTAGCCTCTCTCAAGCGAGCACAGCTTAGTAATATGAAAATGCTTGCTTCTGTCCAAGCCATGGTCACTTCCAGACACGATAGTGGACATCCGCTGCGCAGGTGCACCATAGGCTGTCCTAGTTTAAGCTCTTTGCCAATACTCTAATCCTTTTCCAATAGTGACTCTAAACCAACCTGTCCAAACTTTGAAAGGTACAGTATGGCCCCTGCTTCCTTCTGTTGTAGTCATTTGTCCTTGCAGTAGATTGGACTAATTCTGCGGCTCCGTCTGCGCCATTCATTAGCTGTGCTTTGCCTCTTGTAGGTTCTGATCCCCATCTCCCTGTACGTCTCCATTGAGATCGTCAAGGTCTGCCAGGTGTACTTCATTAACCAGGACTTAGACTTGTATGACGAGGAAACAGACTCCCGGCTGCAGTGCCGCGCTCTGAACATCACGGAAGACCTGGGGCAGATCCAGTACATCTTCTCCGATAAAACCGGCACTTTGACCGAGAACAAGATGGTTTTCCGAAGGTGCACGGTGTCTGGGGTGGAATATTCTCATGATGCCAATGGTGAGTGGGGGTGGGGCCTCCAGTCTGGCTGAACCAGAACACACACTCACACACACACTCACACACGCGCACACACAAACACGCACGCACGCCTCGCATGCTTCCAATTGCTGCTTTTCAAGGCAGTGTAAGGATGTGGCCGTTAGCACCTGGGGAGCCCGGAGCTGGCATCACCGAGCCCTCTGCAGTGCCTGGCATGATGGGCACCAGCCTCCATGCTCACGTCCTGCCAGCCAAGTGCAGCAGTGGTGGGCAGCCTGGCGGACCTGGCTGGTGAGGCACTACCGCTTGCTCTGCCACACCGCAGGCGCAGAGGGCCCTGCTATCCCCATCGGCCTTTCCAAGGGCCTCGGCAGCCCACCCTGCAGCCCTCCCCAGGGACACGATGTCTGGTCCTGCAGAGGTGCACCCCTAACTTCTGACTGTCGGCACCCTGCTCCCTCCTCTCCATTCCATTTTGTGCACCCCTGTCCTCTCTGAAAGTGGGCTCGGGGAGCCGCAGTACAGCAGGCCCGGGTGAGTGGAGCCGCTGCTCTGACCCCAGCCATGAGAGGGCACTGTGGCGAGGGAGCCGGCAGCGCTCTTGTTTTGCGGTCTGGTTGCCTCCAAATGGGGCTGCGCTGTTCCGCAGCCAAGGCTCCTCTTCCTGTGATAGCAGCCGTAGAGCTCTTCTGCCTCCCGACCCTCTGCCTCCACCCTGCTGCTTCCACTCAGCCTGTCGTAAACAAGCATAGCTTTTGCAGAGAGCGGCTGTGCATTTCAGAATAACGGAGTGAACCTCAGAGGTCCCATGGTGAAAAGCGACGGATGAGCCAGGCAGCGGTGTGCTCACTGGTCTGATTTGATTTGATCATGCCACACTTCGTACATCCCTCAGAATGTCACCTCCTGTCCTGGAAATGTGTAGAGCCATGATTCGCTAGTCAAAAATAGTATTAGCAGTAATGTTTTAAAGTCAGGACCTGAGGCTCCACGGGGAAGAATCACAAAGTCCTTGATAGTTGTCAGATGCCTGTCATAAAACCAGCGGCTTCTGTCGCCTGCCTGCCTGCAGCAGATGTGGGAAAGGACTTCTGGTGCCTCTCAGCAGTGTGTTGGTTGTCCCCAGGGCAGCAGCAGGGGACAGGCCCGGGCAGAGAGGTCCCCAGCCACTTCCTCCTGTGACACGCGCTTGCTGCGAGCCTGTTGGAGTAGGTTGGCCCCTCACTCTTCACCCATCAGAACTGGCCATGGCTATGGAGACCATAGGGGGCCCTTCTTCGGCCCTGGGACCCCGCGGCTGACTGTGCATGCCTGGGGCTAGGCACCCCTAACCTCAGCCTCACCCTCCAGAGGACCCCAGTCCGCCTGCACCGCTGTCCCTGCTTGTTCCTGTTTTTCTCAGCTCCAGAAGGTCTGTTAAGGGTACCTCGGGCTCCCACCCTGCACTGCAACTGCAGTTGAATTTCTGATTAGATGTTTGTTGTGAATGAGTCACCCTCAAGACTAGTCCTACCTGGAAGCCAAGGAAAATTTGTTAAGAGCCATCAATTAGCAAGATCCGGCAGTATAGGCAACTCTTAAAGCCACTTTCCCAGTGCTCTAGAGGCTGTGGGAACTGATTGGCAGCGCCCCCTACGGGCTCAATTGTGGAATCGCAGTCAGGACCCTCGTGAAATTCCACTGGTGGGGTCACCCTGGCTGCAGGAGGCTGTGTTGTGTCTTGCGGGGCCACAGCACAAGCAGGACAAGGGTGTGGGCGGATGCCAGGTTTGCCAGTGCACTCTTGTAATCCCAGCACTCTGGGAGGCTGAGGCAGGAAGATCGCAAGTCAGAGCTCAGCCTCAGCAACTTGGCAAGACCCTGTCCCAGTATAAACGGTTTTAAAGGGAGGTGGGGATGTAGCTCAGCATGACAGCTCTGGGCTCAATCTAGTCCACAAAAATGCCCAGCCTGCCCATCCCATCCCATCCCAGCCCACTATGTCTACCTCTGTCCCTGTCCCTGCAGCCCAGCGCCTGGCTAGGTACCAGGAAGCAGACTCTGAGGAGGAGGAGATGGCGCCCCAGAGGGGATCCTGGTCTCGGCGTGGCAGCACCGGCAGCCACCAGAGCGTTCGGGTCGTGCACAGGACACAGAGCACCAAGTCCCACCGGCACTCGGGCAGCCGGGCCGAGGCCAAGTGGGCCAGCGTGCTGTCCAGGCACACGGCCTTCAGCAGCCCCATGGTGAGTGTGCGGGCTGGGCCGGGCACCCCATGCTTCCCCCACTGTGGTCTCCTCGGCTGTCGGAAGTGTCTGAATTCAGCCGAACGAACATGCTCTTGCTGGAGAGCTGGATGGCTGGATGCTGCTGTGTTAGGAGCTTTGTGGCCAACCCCTCGCATGGCTGTGTCCTTTCTCACCCAGTGACGTGGCCTCTGCCACAGCGTCTGGCTGGGCAGTGGCCAGGTGAGCCTCCCAGAAAGGGTGACCAGCAGGCTACACATCCTGCCAAGTGACATGAACGAATCATCGGGACTCGGTGACAACCCTGAAAATGCAAGGCCAATCCCCTGCCCGCGCGTAGTTTTAATCCAGCAAAACTGCACTCTTCCCTGCCTTGCCTGCTGTGTGTGGACCACTGTCTCTAGGCAGGAAATGTCCCACGGTGAGGGGCAGACCCTGAAAGATGTTTCCACTTCTGAAATCTTTCAAGAACAAGAGAGAGAAGCCACGGTACCCAGTCTGCGTGGCCTCTCGTCCGTTCAGGTCCTTCTGCACCACATGGAAACTGCTGTCTAAATAGAGGGGATCAGGGCTCATGGACGCCGCTCAGTGAGTCCACGGGGCAGGTGGGAGAGGAGGCCAGGAGGCAGAGGGAGGCTGCGCAGGAAGTTCTGACAGCATCCGCAGTGGGGTCAAGAAAGTCTGAAGGAGTCGCGCTTTCTGACCTGGGGACTTAGTGATTCCGCCAGCCACTGCTCCGCAGAGTTCGCCGTTGTATTGTTAAAGCAGTAAGAAAGGGATGACCGGAAGAACTGTGACACCTCCATCCGAATTCCTAGGTCCATGGAAAAGTTCAGAAATCGAATGTGTTGGGGGAAATGGAGACTGCCAATGTGCGTATAAAATATTTCGATGAATACAATTTAAATACAGACCCAGAAGGCTACAAGGAAATGCAGAACTATATTCCCAAACAGTAGCTACCTATTGGACTGGTGCGATACCGAATTGTTGAGCTTTTTGAGACTGCTGCGTATTATTTTATGATAGTGTGTCTTAGACATCTTCTAAGAAACGTTTGCTTATCATATATCAGAATCTGTGCATTTCTTCCCACGGCAGGCAGGCAGTGTGACTGTACAGCCACGCGTGCACGTGTGAGGCGGGGAGCTGCTTGTGCCGTGTGACAGATGGTGCTCCCGGGCCTCACAGCGAGGGCGTGTCTTCCCGCAGGAGAAGGACGTCACGCCCGACCCACAGCTTCTGGAGAAGGTGCGCGAGTGCGGCAGGTGCCTGGCCATGGCGAGGCACCAGGAGCAGCCCCTGGGCCGCCTCTCACCAGAGCTGTCCGACATCTTCGACTTCTTCGTCGCTCTCACCGTCTGCAACACAGTGGTGGTCACGTCCCCTGACCAGCCCAGGCAGAAGGCGAGTTCCGGGAGGTTCCTGATGTCCTCCCGGGAGGGTGCGGGTGCCGGTGCCCTCCGAGTGCAGAGGTGCAGTGGTGCGGGGTTTGTGCGCGCTGGCCCAGGCATAGCGGGTGGGCACCTGGCCGGGCAGTGGAGAGCGTCAGGGAGCGGCCAGCGGGGTGTCCCAGAGACCCTCGTGGCTCCTCCCCTGCCTGGCACTCAGGGACATGCCCCGAGTTCAGGTCCCAGACACACAGGCAAGAGGGCCGGGTGGGCCGGGGTGCAGACCGCGGGATGGGGTGCTGAGACTCCAGTGCTGCCCTACCCACCTCCTCCATGTCCGCTGATGCTCCCCTGTGCACTCCTGGCAGGCCCCAGGTGTCCAGGTCTGGACAGGCAGAGGCCACAGACTTGAATAGCCAGCGCCCCACAGCTCTGCCCAGGGGCTACCCCAGGGCCCACGCTTGGTTGTCAGGGTCCCCCACCTGCCGCGGGCATGGGTGAACCAGTCTTCCAAGTGGCGTTTTCCAGGGGTACCAGGGCACTCCGTTTTGTGCAGGCCTGTGGTGAGCACACTTCTAGGACTCTTCCCTGCCGAGGAAGCGGCCCACGAGCGCCCCCATCTCTCGGCTGCCTCTCCAGCAGGTGAGGGTGAGGTTCGAGCTGAAGTCCCCGGTGAAGACCATAGAGGACTTCCTCAGGCGTTTTACGCCCAGCCGCCTCGCCTCCGTCAGCAGCAGCACAGGCAGCCTGGCCACCGCCAAGTGCAGCCACAAGTCGGGGTCCGGCTTCCTGTCCAGCCTCTCCAGTGACAGCACGTTCCTCAAGCTGCAGGAGAGGCTGGGCCAGCCCGCCCCGTCCGTCTCCAGCAACGGCTACAGCAGCCAGGCCGAGAGCTGGGCCCCAGAGCACAAGCCGGAGCCGGAGCAGTGCCAGGACGCGGAGCTGCGCTATGAGGCCGAGAGCCCAGATGAGGCAGCGCTGGTCTACGCCGCCAGGGCCTACAGCTGCGTGCTGGTGGACCGGCTGCCCGACCAGGTGTCCGTGGAGCTGCCCCACCTGGGCAGGCTCAGCTTCGAGCTCCTGCACACACTGGGCTTCGACGCCACCCGCAAGAGGATGTCGGTGGTGATCCGGCACCCGCTCACTGGCGAGATCAGCGTCTACACCAAGGGCGCCGACTCGGCCCTCATGGACCTGCTGCTGCCCTGCTCCTCAGGTGCGCCGCCACGCCCACACGCCTCCCCCTCCAGCCTGCAGCCGCAGCGAACACTGCTCTAACCCTGCCCCGGGGGTGGTCCCTCGGGGTCACCATGGGAGGGGTTTGGCCTGGCCTGCGCACCTCACCCTCCTCCCAGAGGCCCAGCCAAGGTGCCTGGGGAGCTTGGTTCTCCTCCCCAGTGATGGAGGCTCAGAGCCTTAGAGCAGAGGCTCTGGGAGGCTCCTTGCTGTCTTCTGGCCCTGAGCAGCTCTGAGGCCCAGACTGCGGTTTTTAGCACTTGGTGGGCCCGAGGAAGGGGCTGCTGGCCTCATGTCCTGACTGCCGGGTGCAGCTCTGTGCTGGGCTGTTTCATGACCTTTGAACTAAGACGAGGCTGAGAGATGATCGAGGGGGAGCCTCAGGCAGCCAGAGCTGGAGGGGCTGTGAGCTGGGAGGGAAGGGTAGACTCACACATAAGACGTGAGCCTGGTCATTCCATTCTCAGTCCTCAGGGGACCAGGCGTGAGTCTCACCGCAGGTCAGGGACAGGGCACAGGCGGGTGCAGCGAGCAGCTGGAGGGGCTCACCAGGGCTCAGCTGCCTGGCCCTGCAGCTGTACTCTGTGCTGTCTCCTGGAGGGAAGCAGCCCTGGGCATCATCTGCTGTAAACTCTGCCCACTAGGCGAGCCCTTGGACCTCTAGGGCGGCTTCGGGAGCCTTATCCCCCAGCAGCCCTCACGGTAACCTCAGTCCCCCAGGACGGGACCCTTAGCCCCCCAGCCTGGCACCGCCCCCCAAGGAGGCCGTGGCAGGCACCACAACCGTGCTCCCTGCCAGTGCATTCTTAAGTGAGCAGACGGTCTCAAATAGGAAACACGGAGACTCGTACCAGTGCCTCTAGACACTGCCACTGTGTCAGCTTTTTGGTGCGGTAACCGGACGCTGCTATACACTTACTTGGAAAAAAGGTTTGTAGGCTTCCGCTGGCTCTGGGCTGGAGACAGGGCTGCCTCTCCCAGTGGAAGCACGTGGTGAAACAGACTGCCCATGGGTGGGAGCAGAAAGGGAACGAGAAGAGCCAGGGCCCCCCTGTACCCTAGGAGCTCACACGTCCCCAGTGACCCGGGGCCTCCCGCCACGCCCCTCGCCTACCTTCCAGCCTCTAATGCACAGCCCCGGGGAGCACTGGGGCCAGACGGCAGCACTCCGGTTCGGTTCCATTCGCGAGAGGGCAGCACTGCCTCCTCTCAGAGCCCCAGGGTAGCCCAGCCGCACACGGCTTTCCGTTAAATAAACCCAGCGCCCCGAATGCCCGATCCCCGTCCCCGCTTCCCTCACAGTACCCCGAGGTGGGAGAGCAGCTGCCTGGGGTTCGGGGCCCCGGAGAGGAGGTGTTCACCCCCTCGGGACAGGAACCGGGCCTTTCCCCAGCTCAGGGAAGCCAGGAGCCCGGGGCTCGGAACCGCCAGATTTAGCAAAACAAAATAAATTACTCAGGTTTGAATTTGCAACAAACCTTTGTAGAAGTTAAGTATGTCTCTGATACAGTATTTGGGTATATTTTAAATGGCGGCTGGATGATGATTGTGTTCTGAAACTGTACTTGCTGGTAAAACAAGAGACCCGGAGGCCACTCCGCTTGTGATGAAGTCTTTGTCCTTTGAGCATCTCGTTTCAACAGAGGATCTTAGAAACAGCCAAAAGTAGCATTTGGACGAGGTTCTTCGTAAAATGGATCTCTGGCCCTGTTCTCACCCGTCCTGGTTTCTGCTTCTCCTCCACCCAGAGGACGCCAGGGGGAGGCACCAGAAGAGGATCCGCAGCAAGACCCAGCGCTTCCTCAACCTGTACGCGCTGCAGGGCCTGCGCACACTCTGCATCGCCAAGAGGGTGAGTGGGGGGCGCGGGCCAGCCCTGCCCTCCAGGCGCGGCCTCACGGGCTGTCCCACGCAGGTGCTCAGCAAGGAGGAGTACGCCTGCTGGCTGCAGGGCCACCTGGCCGCAGAGTCGGCCCTGGACAACCGCGAGGAGCTGCTCTTCCAGTCCGCCCTGCGTCTGGAGACCGACCTGCACTTGCTGGGTACCCTACGGCCGGGGGCTGCCGCTTGCACAGAGCCCCGCGGTTTGCGGAGGTGGCTTGGGAGCGAGTTGGGACGTGGCTGCTTGGAGGAGGGGGGCTCGGAGGGGTGCAGTTAGGGGCAGCCTGGCCTGAAGCTCCACGTCCCCGGTGGGAAGGTCCTCGCCTCACCTCCTCTCCAGCCACTTCCATGGGCGCTTGTGCGCCAGGCGAAAGGATGGCAGCCTGCTGCCTCCCGGAAGCCAGCTTTGCAGCAGAGGTGACAGGAGGAGCAGGTCTGCGACAGCCTCAGGTCCCGCCCAGTCATGGCAAACCAGGAGCGCTGCTGGGGCACTACAACCCGCCGCACTTGGAAGCCCATGAAGCTGTCACAGATGCCACTGAGATGAAGGACAGCGGGCTCACCCTTGCTCAGATGCGCTCATATTTCCTGCTGTGCCCTGTTGACATCTAATTGACATCAATTAATTTTAGTAATAAGTTAAGGTATTTATACTTTCTCCCCCACCACTCTGGGATTGAACCTAGGGTCTTCACACTGAGCTACATCCCAAAACCTCTTTTTATTTTTTCTTTTGAGACCAGGTCTCACTGAGTTGTTGAGGCTATGCCTCAGCTTGCAGCCCTCCTGCCTCAGCCTCCCAGAGTTCTGGGGTTACAGGCGTGTACCACCATGCCCAGCTAGCTTTATACTTGTTTTAATGTTCTGAACATTTAATGAACCCATTAATGTGTTGACACAGTGAGTGACTCACTCGAGCCTTCATGTGTGGCCCGTCCGACTCCTGCGTGCTCACAAGGCACTGTGACCCTGCTCTGCCTCTCCTTTTATCCCTGAAAGTAGTGGGTCACACCTGCTGGTCCTGCTTGAAGTGCCAGGGAGTCTTGTCTGCCTTCATTGAACAGGCAGACTGTATTCATAGGGCCTCATTCCCTGGCCAGAGGAGCGGGGAAGCCTACGTATCTGACATAACTTACGGTTATAGTAACGAACGTGACAGCGTGAGCCAGGTGGGTGGACACCCGTGCACACCTCGTGTACCACTCTGTGGTGCCTGCTGCTTCTGGTGGCGGGCCTGGGGCCCAGAGAGCCAGCAGCCTGACAAGCAGCATGCCTGGGTGTGAGCTAAATGACGTCCCCATACGGCGCGGTGCCCGGTTTAAGTGCCCAGGCTATGACTCCCTGGCCAGCTGCGCACTCACCCCGCCTGCACCCCAGCTGGGCAGTGGACACAGTACACGTCTGTGCTCCCGGCTGCTGGGCAGGCTGCCAGCTGGGCAGCTAGAGCAGGGATTTCTGGCCAGCTGAGACACATAGCAAGACCTCAGCTCCAAAGACTGAGCAGCCTCGGGTGCTGGCCTGAGCCGGGATGCAGGGGACCCTAACCCACTGGTTCTGCCGGACAGACACGTGCTCTTGCCTCGGAGGGCAGCTTTCCTCTTACTTCTCCGGGGAAAATCTCTGAGGCCCTTCTCCCAGCGGGCGCTGCTCCTGTCCCTGGAACAGCGTGGACAAGATCTCCCCTTTGCCACGTGTGGACGACCTACCTTCATGTGCTTTTCAAGCTACCTGTAAAGTTCGGAGTTAGCTTGTGTTTAGCTCATGTTTGGGAGACTCGAGGCTCTGTGCTGCACGCGCTCTTGAAGACAGCGGTGGCTCTCGCCCTGTCCCTCCCACACACTCCTGAGTCACTCGGGAGAGCGAGCAGAAGAGTCCCCTGCTCTTCGGGATGGTGACCCACTGGGGTGTGCTTCCAAAGAGACTCCCTGGCCCCAGGCAGCAGGGACCTCGCTGCCACCCCATCTGTGGTGCATAGGCGTGCACCGATCCGCAGTTGGAGGGCCTATGAGGAGGGGCTCACACTGATGCACGTTCCTTTGGACAGGTGCCACTGGGATCGAAGACCGGCTGCAGGACGGGGTCCCTGAAACCATCTCTAAGTTGCGACAAGCGGGCCTGCACATCTGGGTTCTCACGGGTGACAAACAAGAAACAGCCGTCAACATCGCGCATGCCTGCAGACTGCTGGGCCATGACGAGGAAATCATCACCCTCAACGCTGAGTCCCAGGTAGCGGATCTCAGGCCACCCGTGTTTGTCTGTGGAGATCCCCGATGTAGACGGTGCCATGGGCCTCCCCGACTTAGGCTCTGACCCTTGCTTAGCTGCACTCGAGATGTTTTCCCGTGTGGCCTCGGCCTTCAGGGTGGGAAGGGCAGCTGAGAGCCCGCGCCTCTGGGCTCCACCTTGGCCCTGCCCACCTCGCTGATGCCCGGCAGACAGGACGCTGCAGGCCTCGGGCCGCAGCCATGGAGCCCTGGCTCTGTGTTTCTCCATTATCTTGGCTGCCTGCGTGATCTGCAGTGATCCACCTCGACTTGCCATGATATTGGTCACTCGTGTTCTTTCTGTGGCTCAGTTTAGACAGAAGTCTATTGATCGTATTGGCCTTTTCAAGGAACAAGGTTTGGGTTTCACTGATTTTCTTTTCCCTTCCGTTGTTTGTTATTTTATTTGTATCTGTCTGCCCTTACCTTTATTATTGTTTCTTGTTTTGCTTTATTTCCCTCCTCTAGTTTCTCAAAATGGAATCTTAGGTTACTGGCTCAAGAGCATTAGTCTTTTCTAATAGAAACAATATATGCTATTCTGTTTACATCTTATAATTTTGAAGTGTTATGATTTCATTTTTATACAAGGGGCAGCCAAGATATGCAATGAACATTTAATTTTAAAAATCTGAAGTAAGACACATAGCTGTGAATCCCCCTCAAACACCCTTACCCCCGCACTCCCACCATTTTCTGAAGTGGTCCCTCTTCTGTGAGTGTCTTAACCAGCTGAGACCGAAAGTACAGAGAATACGGCTGCTGAGTGCCGTCCAGCAGAGATAATGAATGTCTGTGTGTCCTCACCCTGCATCTCCTGGATCTGCCGTCATGCGACTTCCGGCTCTTCCCCAAAGTCAAAATGACCGTGAAAGGGATTGAATCAGTTCAGGTCTGAGACCGCTGCGAGAGTGCAGCTAACGTCACTCAGGCAAGAGGACTCCAGAAGGGCTCCAGAAAGTGGCGAAAATGACGGGAGAAGGTGTTTGAACAGAGGGCGAGGGTATTGAGGGAGATTCATGGCAATGTCTTTTACCATAATAAATGTTTTTACTTAAGTACTCACATACTTTCCCATCACACCACTACGTATGTTCAGGATTTTATTTAAACCTTTTTTTCCTCAAGGCTTCCTGTTTGAAGTTTAAAAGTGTTTTGTCCATTTCAAAGTGTTCAGAGGTTTTCCCTCTGTCTTTCTGTTACTGCTTTAATCCGGTGTGGTTAGAGAACATGCATTTCATGATTTCTGTCCTCTCACACGTGCTGCGCCAGTTTGTTTGTTAAGGACACATGCTGAGGTCTGCCTTGGTGGGTGTTGGCATCTTCTACAAAAGTGGTGACATCCAGTTGATAAAGAGGTGGGCAGCTTTTGGACGAGGGCTCTGAACATTCTCTCGAGGCTGGATTTCCCTTTAGTCTGAAGAATTCCCTGGACAGTTCCTTCAGGACAGTTCATTGGGAAGAAATCATTACTTCCTTTCATCAGAGAATGTCTTTATGCCACTTTCACTCCTGAGGGCTCTCTGCTGGGGGTGGAAGGTTGAAATGGCTACTCTTCTGACCCTTGGAAAACCTTCCACTCCCTTTAGCTGCCGCACTTTCTGGTGAGGATACACAATCGGGAGTCACTGTCACCCTAGGGCTGATGAATTCTGCTTCTGCTGTTATTTGCAGTGCAGAGGATTAAACCCAGGGTCTTCGCACTGAGCTACATTCCCAGCCTTTTTATATATATCGCTGTGACAGGGTCTCTCAGTAGGTGCCCAGGCTTGTGATCTTCCTGCCCTAATCTTGCCAGTATTGGGATAGCAGGCCCGTGCCATCATGCCTGGCTGTACGTTGTTCTTACCTGGTTGCTGTTGGAATTCTGTCCTTTCGTTTTAAATAGTTCATTTATGATGTGTCTGGGCCTGGCTTTCTTTAGATTTATAAGCCAGGATCTCCTGAGTTTCTTAAAGCTGTGGGGTTTTATCTTTTACCAAATTGGGAGAGTTTCAGCCATTGGGTTTTCAAACATTTTTGAAGCACTCTGCATTTTCTCCTCCTTTATTGGTAGATTAATGACGTGCATACTAGGTCTTTGGTGTGGCCTTCTGGCCCTGGAGCCTCTTTGTGTTTTTTTGTTTTGTTTTGATCTTTTCCTCTGTCCAAGTTGAGTCATTTCTATTGACCTATAAGTTCACTGATTTTCCCTGTTATCTCTTTTTCTCCCCTAAGCCCCTTCAGTAAGTTCTTTAAAAATAAACTCTCTATATAAAATGGTTTTAGATTTATTGAGACATTGAGCAAGTGCAAGCTTTCCCGTATCCACACTTGATTTCTCCCCCATTTAACATCCTGCATGAGCGCAGCACACTGGCTATGTTCGTGAGCCGATATCAATTCATTGTTAGGCATTAAAGTCTACCCTGAATGCATCGGGTTTCCCAGCCCCTGAGGGCCATGGCAAGTGCCACCAGAGGAGAGATGGGAAGCTGGGGTGAGGCCCCCACCCCCCGTGCAGCTGCTTCTCCCGAGCTCACAGAGGAGGGCAGAGCGGGATATCTCTTCTACTTGCCTGAGCTCTGTGTACGTTAAGTGCCCACCCTGGGCTCTCCAGTTACACTGCACCCCTGGCCGCCTTGGAAGCACACGCCCACCCCCAGTGCAGCGCCTTGCTCCTCTCCGGATGAGTGTGTGACCCAGCTGCCTGTGTCCACCCCAAGGGCAGCCCCTGCCCTGCCGGTCTTCTCTCTCCAGTCTCCCCAAGTTTTCTGCTCACCCTCCCTTGAACACCTCTGACCATCCGTGGTGTGCTGCAGGGAAGTGGCCAGCAGCCCGAGGGGTCCCTGTCCCCCGAGGATGGGGCCATCAGCCCTCTTGCAGGTGTTTGTCCCCGTCAGACGTCCCTCCTGGGCCTCTGGCTTCTGCCCTGATCCCGAGTGTAGGGTCCCCAGTAGCTTCTCCCCTCTAGAATGCACAGACAGTTTTGGGAGGACATGGCCAAGTAAAAGCCTTGGTAATTATGCCTTGGTTTTCTTTTTCTGGTAGAGTAAAGAGTTTAGGGAAGCCACGCGTAATCACATTTCTCTAGGAGCAAATACCAGCAAGACTGAAAGTGCTTTGTGACACACATTGGTACCTAAGTAGGAAAGACGGAGGGCTGGGGTGAGGCCTGGGGGGCAGGCAGGCGGTAGCAAGGCGCCTTCAGCCTGAGAGGCCGAGGCGCGGCAGTGACAGCCCAGCCAGCTCCCTGGGGAGCACATCCCCCCGCTGCCTGGGCCCGCGTGGGTGACCAAATGGAACCCCAGAGAAACCCGTCTTCTCTCTGTGCAGAAGCCGTTCTCTCCCTGGAGCTGGACCTCAGGGAAGAGGGAAGACTGCTCCCTGGGGTCTGTGCTGCAACCCAGCGAACCATCTTTTCTTCCCTTTCAGGAAGCCTGCGCGGCCCTGCTAGAGCAGAGCCTACAGTACGCACGGTCCAGGGCCCCCTGCAGCACCCCTGAGAAGACCGAAGGCAACATCCCTGTGGGCTTCTTCCCTCTCTGCTCAGCCTCCAAACCCGCCACCACCGCCGCCTCGGGCCCCAGCCTGAGCCTTGTGGTCGACGGGAGAAGCCTAGCCTACGCCCTGGAGAAGAACTTGGAGGACAAATTCCTCTTCCTCGCCAAGCAGTGCCGCTCCGTGCTCTGCTGTCGCTCGACCCCTCTGCAGAAGAGCATGGTAGTGAAGCTGGTCCGGAGCAAGCTCAAGGCCATGACCCTGGCCATAGGCGAGTACCCAGGCGGCCAGGCGGGGCCCTTCCCTGCAGCGAGCGCCCCACTTAGCTGCTGCTTCCAGTGCGGCCTGGATTTTTGAACTCTTCCTACAGTGGCCCAAACTGGGAAAAGCCTCCTGTAGGAAGCTTTTCCTCAAGTGTAAATCACCCCCATGTGATAGTGTGCAGAGCGTGTTCCAAACAGAAAGCACCTTACGAGCCCAGCAGTGCTGTGCTGACTAAGGGAGGTAGGTGGAGCTCACTGTCTCCTGGGAGACAGTGGACACCTGCCCGACTCCCGAGGTCCCAGCCACAGGGAGAGACCTGTACGCTTGGCATTATCCTGGCCCAACTAAGAAAAAAGGCCCTTCGGAGAGGATCCTGGGGTTGGAGGCTTCAGAACGTGAGGACACAGAGCCAGAAACAAGCAGAATTCCCTCTGCCGCTTGTCAGCTGAACATTGCTGATCGTTCTGAGACAAGCGTCACATCAGGGTGCAGCTTGACCTGGTGACTCTGTGTGCTGCTGTGTCTCCCTGCAGGCTCTGGGCCTCCTCACCAGGGACAGGCACCTGTCTTCTAAGGCGATGTCCCCTCCTGCTTGTGTGGGGGTTTCTAGTGCAGGTTCAGGGACGTGCGGGTCCCCATAAGGCCCCTCCTGGTGATGGCCAGGGTGGAGGTGACACGGTGAGACCAGCTGTGTACACACCCCCCACCTGCCTGAGACAGCATGTCCACACCAGTGGCTCACCACTCGCTGATGACCGGTTTACTGCAGAGGGTCTGTGGCAGCCCCTTCTTGCTGAGGTAGGGAGCTGCAGCTTGTCACCATGGCAGCACTGAGCCTGAGCACGTGGAGGTGAGCACGGCGTGGTCATCACGGAGACGTGGCCCACACACCCGAGCAGCGTGACATCTAGGAGGAGGCGTGGGGGGCGGCACCCTGGCCCTGCAGGGACAGGCACCTCCCAGGAGGGGCTTCCCGGGCCACCTTTGCTTTCTTGTGCCTGGAGTATGAGGGTCAGGAACTAAGGAACCTGCATTTGTGTCCAACACACACACACACCCCTCCTGTGTCTACCCTGGGAACACACAGACAAGACCGGCCTGTAAAGGCCAGACAGATGCGAAGGCAAGACCTGTCTCCACGCCTGATCTGGTGACACACAGCTGTAGCTGTGGTATTGTTTAAGAAATGGAAGTAAAACCTCGGCTACTTAAAAATAAAAAAACAAAATAGACTCTCAGCAGGAAACGGGAAGGTGACCACTGAGAACTCTTGGTTCCCTTCCTCGGCATCCAGCAGTTGCCGCAGAGAACACTGCCAGGAGCCACGTCTCATTTGCATGTGACATTCTGGGAAGGCTGGAGGGATTTTCATTGCTCACAGTTTCAGGGTGACAAAGACTGCCTGATCACCTGCGTTGGGCTTAACCCAGTAATGCACAGAAAACGGCCAGGAGAGAGGCAGCGTCCCCTGTGGGCCGTGCGCCAAACCTCGCTGACTGCATCGTTGCACCTCTTACCACTTGTCTGTCTGGCCGCGCTCTGTGGTCGTGGCTGTTCCCTACCCAGACAGAGAGCGGTCACTGTCATCAACAGGCTTCTGGCCTCCAGGCTCTGTTTCACAAACATCTGTCTTGCACCGCAGGGTCAGGCGAAGTCCTCCCTTCTCAGGATCAGCAGACCTCAGCGGGCCCTTGGCAGGATGTGACCTGCTTGTAGTTTAGGAAATGGCTCGTGCGGGCGCCAGTCCACGGGACCGGGGCTGCCTGGCTGGGGTAGTTGTGCCGCTGTCCCAGAGCACTGGTTCAGAGGTGCCGGGCACTAGCCTCTCTGGAGTGGCCGGCAGTCCGATGTCTCACCGTGGTTCATCCTGACCACAGTTCTCCCAGCGAGGCTGCCAATTCCTGTTCTTCCCTGGGATGCTGTTCCAGGGCCCAGGAGACCCGAGAAGACCCAATCTGACCGCTTGCTAATTCTTCTCCTCTTCTCAGACAGTCCTCCCTGCCTTGCTGTTTCCAGGTGACGGAGCCAACGATGTCAGCATGATCCAGGTGGCAGATGTGGGCGTGGGGATCTCAGGCCAGGAGGGCATGCAGGTAAAGACCGGTCGGGCTGCGCTGGAGGGCCCAGGGCAGCTCCCTGAGTGGCCTCTGCCCTGCCTTCCCCTGGCCCTGGGTAGCACAGTCAGGACTTTGCCTTCAGTTCAGCAAGCGCTTGCATTCCGCTGCGCCAGCAGGAGAAGGGAAGGCGGAGAGTCACGCTGCCTGTGAAGGGAAGTGCGACACCAGGCCTGCACAAGTGTATTTTGGGGAATCGGTGGGAGGGAGGGAGGCAGGGGAGTCATCCCCTCCGCCCTGGCTGTCTGTTGACTGTTCCTGAACCCCGGCGTGCTGCACTTCTGCTGGAACTGGTGTCCCTGTGAACATGGAACGTGGCCATTTTGACTTGCGTGGAAACGCAGCTGCGTCTGAGCTTGTCACTTGTCATGCTGTCAGCCCCTGCTGTTCCCGAGGTTGAACACCTGAGTTAATTTCCAGGGCGCTTCTTTTACATGTCATACTGCAGTAATTTCCAACATTTGGATCAAGTTTGAATCACAGCATTCTTTTTAACTTGGTGGAGACGTTAGGAACCATTTATTCAACATTTTTCTAAAACTAAGGCTGTCAACCACTATGTGTTAATGAATCATTCATTCACTCACTCATTCGTTCATTCAGGATGTACTAAGCACTTGCTATGTGCCAGGCCTGTGGCTTACTCATTTTGCTGCTTGATGGTAAAGGATAGCCAGGTGGAAGGTCCGGACCAGAAGCATGGTATGATCAGCCCCCCATTTCTAGGGGAGTTAGTTCCAGGCCCCCATAGTCACCACAGCCCATGAATGCGTGAGTCTTTGACACTCAGTGATGCGGTATTTGTGTGTCCGAGCACACCCTGCTGTCTCCTTGAAGCATCACCAGATGATTCCTCGTGCGTTCCCAATAGTCTGTCAGTGCCGTGTGACAATCGTTAAGTTGTACTGAGGATTAATGACATGCTCAGTGCAGATGCAGTTTTTTCCCAAACATTTTCCATCCCTAGTTGTCTGCAGACACAGACCCCACAGGTAGGGAAGGGGACTGTGCAGGACAGAACAGTCAGAAACCTTAGACTTTCTGAACCAGCTGTCAAGAATAGCAAAGCAAATGTCTCAAAACCTCCTCCTGTCAACATAGGAAGGGCTTAAGTGGTTTTACCTGTTCTTTCATCCTTTCCTCATTTATCCTGTTAATTTAGAACTCACCGTTGCCAAACACAGAGTAGAGACAGAGACTCTAGCTAGGCACAGTGCCTATACTTGGTGGAGTCCGTCCAGAAGGTCACTGCGAAGGGACAGTTGTCAGGAGTGGCCGGGTGCTAGCTGAGTGGTAGAGCATTGCTCTGAGTGTGCAAGGCCCTGGATTCAATTCCCAGCACCACAAAAATTAAAGACAGACTGAGCAGCCTCCAAGGCAGACCTCTGGACGGTCTTTGGAGGAGAAACCTTGAGAGCTCACAGTGGAACCCTGGCTCTCCAGCCTTCTGTCCCTCGTGCCCACCTCCAGATCCAGCCCCAGACACAGTGCTTGTCCCTCGGTGTACATGGCCTTTACAAACTCTCCCACTGCTCTGGAGACTCCAAGGGAAGAGGGAGAGCAGATGTGGTCACTCTGCACCTCAGGACTTGGGTCTGGGGCCTCCTCCACAAACACGGTGGGGCAGGCAGCCCCTGACCAACAGCAGGGCCCACAGTATGGGCCTTCGGTAGGAGAGGCATCTACTTGAGTTTCTGTGCACAGGAGGTCGGCAGGCACTGCCTTAGTCAGCTTTTCACCGCAGAAAATAGTGAAAACAAGACAATGCCAGAAAAGCCAAAGTGAATTATTTCCTTTACACAGTGCATGCTCGAGCACTTCATGTGCAGACACTGTGCAGATGCAGGAGTCAAAATGGAGTGCAGATTCCATTTTCAGCTTCTTGGTGGAGGAAGAAAATGTGTAGCAGCAGCGACTCGAGGAAGGCAGGAGAGGGTCAGGGAAACCCTAAGGTTGGGCCCAGTTAGCCCTCATATCTGTGGGAACCGCGTCCGCGGATTCAAACAACTGTGGAGGGCAGCTGGCGGCACAGAAGGTGTCTGTGCTGAACATAAGCAGACTTTTTCTTGTTAACCCTCCCAGGGAAGACAGCCTTGAGTGTACCCACCCCCCTGCAGGGCCGCACAGCCACCTCTGCTGCCCAGGAAACGAGGCGTTGGCTGTCTTGGGGTCCTGGCACGGTGTAGAGGAGGTGACATCCAGGGCTGGGGAAGGCAGGTGACCTCTGCAGCTCTGAGTCTGTGGCTTATCCGACAGCATGGAAAAGCAAGCGAGCAAAGGCTTAAAGCTCAAAGGTTATGTGCCCAGTGCCCGAAGCTTTAAATTAATTCTGTAACTTCATGTCCCTGGACGAAAGTGTTTGTGAGAAGGAATTATTTTTAATGGAAAGGGACAAGGGGGAGGATGGGGGAGCCGCACGTCACACGGTGTTTGAAGCTGGGTTTTCCTTCTGCGCTTTGACTCCATGCTGCGGGAGATTGGACCTGCATGGAGCGAGTCAGCACCAGTAACCAGAACTCCTTCCCTTTCAAGGCAGTGATGGCCAGCGACGTCGCAGTGCCGAAATTCCGGTACCTGGAGAGACTCTTAATCGTCCACGGACACTGGTGCTACTCACGGCTCGCCAACATGGTGCTCTACTTCTTTTACAAAAACACTGTAGGTATTGGACGCCAGGCCAGAGCGATGTTGAACGAGAAGGTCCGAGGCCTCGGGGCCACCACCCGAGGCCTCGCGTCCACTCTGTCCTCCTTGGTGCCTGTGAAAGTCCCCTAGTCCTGGCCATGCATCCTCTGGGCTTGGGGAGCAGCCACCCCTTCCCTGTGCAGGGAAGGTTGGAGATGCAAGCAGAAACCACTCAAAAGTCCACACGACTCTAGTGAGCAGTAGCATGACCCAGAAACCAGCGGGGTCACCCAGCTAGAGAGCCGGCCAGGCTGTTGTCACTAGTGGACATCTGACGCCTGCCCCCAGGCTCCCCACTGTTGTCCACACGTTTTCCAGGAGCTGGGGTATCCACACCAGCCTTTCTCCAGAGTCATCAGGGAAGACAGGATGATAAGCAGAAATGTGCAGGTGACTGGGTGTTAGGTTCCCTGGCCATGCTGAGATTTCAATGCTGAAAGTTGTCCGTCAGAGACACACCAACACTGGGTCTGACCGGCAAGTCCCCAGGCCAGGCAGTGGACCAGGCAGGTATAGCAGCCCTTGCACGCTTGTGGGCCTGCAGGGCAGACGTGCCCCCTGCTGGCCGCCTGCACCTGTAGCTCCTCTCTCCGCACCAGGTTGGCTGGGCATAGCTCTGCCCAGAGAACCTTGTCTGAGGCGGGACCTTTGAATACAGGACCTGCTTGGTCCATTTCATATGGGTCTTAACGTTTAATCTTAGTTCCCGGGTTACTGAGTTTTCAGAACACACCCTTTTCCATAATCCTTGAACCCCCAAGGCCACCCCAGAACCCTGCTCTCTTGGAAGAGATTTCTGGATACTCTGCTGAGCACCACTAGGTTGTTCATGGCTGTGCTTCTGATAGCTACCAACAAGGATACAAAGAGACTCATGGGAGGAGCAACCTTCCGGCACAGTCCCCCAGCCCAGCCTTCTGGGCACTAGAACTCCTGTGTCATGGTGACCTCAGACCTTTCTGAAAGAGAACAAATTAAAAGTTGTGTTTTTTTCTAATTCCATATGAAAATCCCCACGCTAACCCCACTGCTGTCAGTGCACCTCTCATGTGTGTTCTGGAGGCTGACACCTCCCTTTTCTGTCTCCGTCTCCCACCCACTCTCCAGCCTGGTTTTCAAAATGTCTTCCAGCAAATGGATGTGATGCTCGGAACGGATCAGGGTGTGTCTAACTGGATAGGTTTGGTCCTGGAAATGAATGCAGACTAGCTTTTCCTGGGGCTTCGTCTGAGGAAGGGTACTGTCCTGCCCTTGCTAGCTCCTCCTCTGCCCTTGCTACCCTGGCATCGAATCCCCCGTGCTCAAGGCCTCACATACAGATGCAGACCTAGAGGCTTCTGACTCCCCAGGAGTGGAGAAACCCAGCCTCATTTCTGTCTCTCGTTGGCAGTGGGGTCTCCGGCCAGTTGCAGGTGCTCCTTGATTCATGAAGGGCGCTTTTGCCCTGACGAACCATTGCAAGCTGGAAATATTGGAAGTTGACACTGTGGCCGACGTGCACAGCATGATGGCTTAAGCTTAGCGCCCCACACACTGGAGCATGTGCTGTTTCCCCTCATGATCGTGAGCTCGACTAGGACCTCAGATGCAATGCCCAGCCTCTGTGTGTGTGTGTGTGTGTGTACTGGGTATTAAATCCAGGGCTTCACACCTGCTAGGCAAGCTCTGTACCACTAAAAAAAAAAAAAACATAAACAACCCCCTGCCCCAAGTTGAGCTGGCTGATGTTAGAAACTCCCAATTCAAATTTCTTAGGCCAAGGGGACAGCAAGAACCATGCAGGCTGCACCACTCAGCATCTGGGGTGTGAGCAGGGCTCAGGGTGCCTGCTAGGGCTGGGCACTGCCCCTGCCCACCACGATCGCCTGTCCTTGCTGAAGGCACAGGGAGGGGAAGGCATCGTGCTTGCTCCCTGTGAGGTGTGGGGCCTTTGTGAGCAGGCATCCATGTGCCGAGGAGTTCAAGGGTGGTCACGCCGCCTCCGAACAGGAAGGAGAGCATCATCAGCTGTAAGGGTGAGTCGGCCTGCCTGCCCAACAGAGGGGAAGAAAGGTTTCCATAGCAACGGTGGTTTGGGAGCAGAGCTCTCCGGTACAGAAAGGAGAATCTCGGGTCTCTAAGTGCTTTTCCTCTTCTCTCCCCTGGTTCCTTTCGCTCATGGTGATTCGTGAGCCTGGGGTGGGGGGAGGAGGAAAGACAGGCAGTGAAGTCCCAGCCTGAGGTCCTAGATTGAAACGGGACTGGAGCGCTGTGTGATGCAGCCTCTCTTCCAGTCTTCACGCAAACCTTCAGGTCAAAAAGCCGGAGCGCGGCAGGGTTCAGGACAGAATCAGGGTCAAAGCATTAGGCAGTCTCAGCTCTAGAACCAAAGCCCAGGCCAGCAGGGCCCACGGGGCCCACGGGGCGTGCTCCTCCCTCCGCGTCCCACCCGGCCTGGCAGCGGTCAGCTAGGCTCATGCTGCCCCTTGGAACTTCAGCCTTCTCTCGTGGTAAAAGTGGAGGCCACGCTTGAGCCTCTGACAGGAAAGTAAACCCCGCTGACTGACGATCCTGGCAGGCTGCAGGGAGACTGGCAGTGCCAGGAGCTCAGCTAGCACTTCCAAGTGCCCTGAGCCCTTTAGTCCTCTCAGCAGCCCCACGGCCGGGTGTCCCTGCTGTGTCTGGGCTGTGGACACAGAGGCTGAGGCAGCAGCGATCAACTGAGCTGTTCCACGGAGCTGAATGTGCAGGGTCCTCTGTGTTAGTTCTGAGTCACTGCAGCAATGCTCCAGAGCTGCTCAGCTCCTAAGGAGCAAGGCTTCTTTTGGGTCAGTTTCAGAAGTCGCAGTCCACTACGGTGCTCAGGACTGGGGCCTTTGGTCCTGGGGCAAGGCAGGAGCACATGCTCACCTCATGGCTGCCAGAAAACAGCAAGAGAGAGAGAGAGAGAGAGAGAGAGAAAGAAGGGGCCGGGGGAGCAAGACCCACAGTCACACGAGTCCTTCCACCTCCTGTAGCATCACAGCCTGGGAAGCAAAGTTCAACAGATGGGTGTCGAGGGGACATTGCAGGCTGTCGGACTCTGACTACTAAGCCGCGTGCCTCTGTGTGGCACTCAGGAAAGCCACATGTTCTCAGTGATCAGGGACCTGCTGGGTGTGAGGAGATGGCCCCATCGTACCAGCGAGGCGGTCTCTGTAAGGGGGAGACAGCGCCGGTCACACCTGCCTGCACAGAGCCAGTGTGCAACCAGGGGGGCTCAGTCCATCCACAGTGTTGACGGCGTCATCGTCCGGCTGCTGTGCCTCTGCCCTCCATCCATGGAAGTCAGTACCTGTCCACTGCTCCTCTCTGGAAAGGGGCAAGGGACTCGGCGGAGACAAGGATGGAGCCTGGGAAGGTTGTTGGGGCGCAGAAGGCGCAGCCTCCTAGAGAGAAGCCGCGGCCTGCCCCATCAGACCTTCATTTTGTGTCCGCTGCCGCCTCCTCTGTCCCAGGGCTTCTGGGACTTCCGAGCTCCCACCGCCCATCCCTCGGGCTTAAGAGACCCAGGAGGGTGGGGAAAGGAGGCAGAGGCCAGCACATGTCCTGCCTTTGGAGGACATCGCTGCCTGTCACTCGTCTGTGTCGAGAGCTGCGGGACTCGGGGTCCGTGAGGGCAGGAGGAGTAGCCCGGCCTCATTCTTTCTTGGTGCAGATGTTCGTGGGCCTCCTGTTCTGGTTCCAGTTTTTCTGTGGCTTCTCGGCTTCTGCCATGATCGACCAGTGGTATCTGATCTTCTTTAATCTGCTCTTCTCGTCGCTTCCCCAGCTGGTGACTGGGGTGCTGGACAAGGATGTGCCAGCGGGCACGCTGCTGGCCGAGCCACAGCTCTACCGGAGTGGCCAGAAAATGGAGGTAGGCTTGCCTGCACTCAGCCCGCTCCCCTCTGTCCCCAGTGTGAGTCTCTGGGACTCCTCATAGACACCCCAGACCTGCTGTCCCAACTCCAGAGTCTGCCTGGGGTGAGGAAAGTGGATGTCATCTGCTGGTTTCTGGGGTGCACTGCATTGCCCAGAGTTGGGGAACTGACACTGCAAGAACGTGAACTTGTTAGACGAAGCTTATTTGAACAGCTCACCATGCGAGAGGGTCCAGACCCTGGTCAGGAACCCATTGCTCCAGCCCCGTGGCGGAGGATGGCAGGGATGGGCACGAACTGCTCACACCCAGAGCCGGGAATCTTGACAGGAAGAGACGCCGCCCACCTTCCCTTCATGGGCACAGCCCAGGGACAAGGGCCTCCCACCAGCCCCGTGCAGACCTTTGGGGACCCAACCACGGCACACAGCAAACGCACGGAGTGAGGCCGTCTCCGCCCAGGCAGCTTCAGAGCCCAAGGAGGGCTCACCCCGGATCTGGGTCAGCCACGGGGGACTGCTGAGGCTCCATAGGGATTTTCTACAGCAAGCCTGAAGAGTCATTGCCTTCTAGTGGGAATTAAGAAGACAGACTCATGGGGAAAGCCGTCACAGCACTGGAAGGACAGTGGGTGTGGACGCACCTTATATGGACACCACGGCCAGCTGCCTCCAGCCCGCTGTTCAGGCAGAACGCCTGCTCCAAACTGGGAACTCAAGTCTGAGTGCTGTGCATGCAGGAGGACTGCAGCGCCCCCAGAATCTCCAACTCCAAATTCGCTCCCTTGCATGTGAATGCTCTTTGGCCACTTCTGCAAACATTGGGTCCCCCTGGAGCAGGCTAACCCCCTGGGTTAGACAGGTGTCAGCTTGACGTCTGTCATCTAGGAAGATCTCATCCTGGCCTCCTCAGCCAGCCAGACTTACACCCAAGGCCATCCTGTGGAGGAGGAGACAGCCAGCACTTTCCCAGAGTGCAGTGGACGCTCCTCTGTGCCCTCTGCATTTCCTGCGGGGGGAAGTCTGTGCCAGCTACTCGGGACTTAGCAGGGCTAAAGAACCAGTGCAGTCACCCAGGTGATGAAAGCTCGGGGAGCCCATGGATATATAATTGCCTTAGTCTGCTTGGCTGCATTGTGGTGAGGGACAGGCTACCCAGTCAGAGGCTCGTCTGGGTCCTGGTTCTGCATTGGGTGACGGCGTTGTTGCTGGCAGAATCCAGAAGCAGAGAGGAGCATCTCGTGGCAAGCAGCAGGGAGCTGCACATGGCTGGCGTCTGCTCCCATCTCCTCCTTACAAAGCCAGAAATACTCGATCCTGGGTCTCCACCCGGATAATCTCACCCACATTGTTTCCGCCACCCATAGTAGGTCACAGTGGGGATTAAGTTTCAACCTACAGACCTTTGGGGGCCACATGAGAACCACATCCAGATCATGGCAAGCGCTTTCGTGGTTTTCACACCGGGAACATCCATCAAATTTAAAAATTTAAGTCACGCTTTTAAGAGTCCCTCTAAGGGCCTCACCACAAAATCGTGGCAGGTAGAACGTGGCAAGAACAGAAGGGCTCGTGTCAGGGGTGACCTCCCAGAACTCTGGGGGCTCTTCCTGCCTCAGAATTTCTCACGTAAGATGTAGAGTACTTTCCACTTATTGTTAGCCTACAATGACTGCAGCATGATTTTGGGGTACAAAAGGTGTAGCTAGATCCACAGGCATTTGGGTTCTCACCTGAACTTCACAAAGCCCTAAATAGCAAGTTTCCCTTGAGTTGTATGCCTTGAGTTGTGTGTCAGGGGCCCAGAAAGCAACGTTTGGGAGGTGAGCAGCTCCCTGTGATCTCTTCTTCTGGTTCTGTCCCAGGAATCCTGGCCGCGCGCCTTCTGGTTAAACATGGTCGATGCTGCCTTCCAGAGCTTGGTTTGCTTTTTTATTCCCTACCTGGTAAGTCAGCACCCAGCGTGGCTTCCCACACGTACGCCCAGGACCCGCAGACACAGTGCCACTGTCTTCCAGGCCTACTACGACTCGGACGTGGACATGTTCACCTGGGGCACCCCTGTCACAGCCATCGCCCTGCTCACCTTCCTGCTGCACCTGGGTATTGAAACCAAAACCTGGGTATGAGCTGCCGGCAAGGCCACTTCCCAGAGGGCCTGCGCCGTGGGCCCCACACTTCCTGGCGGGCTCCACGAGGTCTCGTTTCTCTGAGCCCAGAGTGCTGGCCTCCCTGTGCCAAGAATGACAAGGGTACTGCCTGGACCTCCCTCCCGCCTCCCAGAGCAGCCACAGCTCCGCCTCCTTGCCGCCCCACCAGCACTTTACCTGGCCTCCTCCCCTCACGTCCCAGTCCCAGGCTGCTTCCCAAGGCTCCGCCGAGAGCATCAGCCACCCGTGGCACAGACCCCCATGTTCACCAAGCTCTTAGGATGTCCCATCCGCTCCCCGATGACTGATGCCTTTCCACTCCCTCACGGTTGCCACTTTTAAGTTGAAATAAAAGCGTTTTCTGTTTCTGCTTCAGACCTGGCTCAACTGGACAGCATGTGGCTTCAGCGTCCTTTTATTCTTGATGGTGGCTTTGATCTATAACTCGGCCTGCGCAGCCTGCTATCCTCCATCTAACCCGTACTGGACCATGCAGACGCTCCTGAGAGACCCCGTGTTCTACTTGACCTGCCTCATAGCACCTGTCACTGCACTGCTGCCCAGGTGAGTGTCAGGGACGGCACCCCAGGGCCCCAGGGAGTGTGGGCACCAGCGCGTGGCTGTTTCTTTGCCTGGGGACTCACGGGAAGCTCAGGGGCATCTCCTGCAGTGGCAACATCTGACTTCTGTTCATGTGCTCTTTCCAGATTGTTTTTTAAAGCCCTCCAGGGGAGCCTGTTCCCCACCCAGCTGCAGCTGGGACACCAGCTGACCAAGAAATGCTGCGAGACACTCAAGACTCCCAAAGAGACCTTTGCTCAGGGACACCTCTCGGGAGAGTCACAGACTGAGCTCTCCCAGGGAAGCCCCGCGAACCCCTCCGAGTGCCTTGCCAGGGACTGTGCCTCCCAGGCCTCCCAGCACACGCAGCAGCCGCCGGCCTGCTCTCCCGAGGCCAGCGGGAAACCCAGTGCAGTGGACACGAGTGTGCCCCTGAGAGAGAACAGCCTGCTGGGGCCCCTGGGGCCTTCCACGCCGGGGGAGGCTGTTTCTGGAGAGTGCCCTGGGCATCTCCAGAGGACGCCCCTCGGCCCAGGCCAGGCCGCCCCGCTGTCCCTCTTCAGCCTGCCCAGCTTCGGCTCCCTTGGCTGGGTGTCCTCCCTGTCTGCAGTCAGTGGTCTGGGAAGCATCCTCCGTTTCTCCAGAAGTAATTTACATGTGGCCAAGAGGGATGGCAAGCTCCTGCCTGGCCCCCCGCAGCCAGAACAGGCCCTGTCTGGCTCACAGAGACCTGCGACAGACTCCTAGACCACCCAGAGGGACAGCCATGGGCTGTGCCCCTGTGGAAGCCTTAACATGTCGTTTCTACATGTACAACATGGACGTGGATGTTATTTATGCTTCTTATTTGCACAGAAGACTTCTAGGGAGGTGTATTTTTAAATATTTTCAGGCTAACACAGGGAGTGAGAGGTACCAAAAGAGAAAGTTTATTTTTTAAAGTTCTAAATAGAGTATATTGATGAAGAAAAATAAGAGCTTTAACGTATACAGATGTATAAAGTTTAAAGAAGAATGACACTTGAAAAGTGCGTTTGAATTTATTTTTTCATCTCATTTTGTAAAAGGCAGTGTGACTTCTCTCTTCAACACACATGGCCTTTGCTTTCTCTGAGGAGAAACGCACGACTGGGCGCAGTGAGCCCAGGGGTGCAGGCTGCCGGGCGATGCAGGGGGAGGCTCACTGCGTGGCCTCACACCGCGGCTCCCTGCCCTGCGCACTCACCGGAGCCACCCTGCCAGGGCCTGGGTGTGAGGAACCTTCAGGCCCTGTCTGGTGAACTATGACCTCGGTCCCTCTAACAGCAGAAAAGGAAAGGGACGCTCTTCCCTCACTTCTTCGCTGGGCGTTAGTGCGCTAATGCAGCACCTGCAAAGCCCCAGGGCCCGCTCCCTGCTCTGCGGGACTCCAGCTCCTGAGGATTCTTGTCACCAAGGCCCTCAAGGCAGAGGGGGCAGAGGATCCGAGACCTTCTGCCCTGGGTTCAATCCCTAGTATTGTAATAAAGAAAAGAATATTTACAATAATAACCTTTTACAACCAGCTAACTTTGATGTGGAAATGAATATAATACATCTATGCTTTGGCAACACATCATAATTACATCCTTCTTGGAGAACTGGTACAGCAGATCATGTCTTGATCATTTTCACTCCTTCACTCCCCAGCCTCCCTCCATCCCCAGATCTACCTCCCTGTTTCCTACTATCTTTTATTTTCCCCTTCAAATTATGTTTATTATGGGTATCTCAGAGAAGCCTTCTGTGTCTGATTTATTTCACTTAGAATTATGGTCTCAAAAACCATCCTACAGATGACTCAAATTTATCTTTATGTCAGAGTAGTACTCCACTGTGTACGTATACCACATTTTCTTTAACCACTCATCTGTTGGTGGGTACATAGAGGGACTTTCATGATTATCTCACAAAAGCACAGGGCAAAAGATCTTACCAAATCCTGGTAGCAAATATAAATCGGAAGGAAGGCTGACTACTAAAGACATCTCTGCTCTTGGCAACAAAATAGCTGGACCAGTGCAAAGCATGCCTAATGCAAAGTCAGACCTGTTCACTGAAACTCTTGAAGCTTAGACGCTATGGGCGCCTGGCCTTATATCCCCAGCTCTTTGTACAGAATCTAGCAGTTTGAACGTGCTCAGTAAACACTGGATGAGTCCACACATGAACGACAGTAGTGAAATGCTACAGGAACTCCTGCCAAAGTCAGACTAAAACGTGACTTGTTGCAACTCATTCAATATTTTCTAGAATATCTGGCAATGTGGTAAGACATGAATTTTTTTAAAGATTTATTAGAATCAGACCAAATTGTCTTTACTTATACATGATATGATTTTATACCTGAAAATCCAAATGAATAAATTAGAAGGCTCCCAAAATGAGCAAAGGGAGGAAATAAACTGACTCCATACAGAGAAAAGCCACAGCTTCTCCACAGAGCAGTCACACCCAGAAGACACGCTACTGAAGGCAGGCGAGGATCTCATTCCTTCCTGTAATCCCACCTACAAATTCTGAATTGCTAAGAAGTCATTTTGATGCATATAAAGACAGCTAACCCGCACTAGCAGGATGTGAACCAACATCCTGACTACAAAAACAAGCCTCATTCCTAGGTTAGAGAATAAGTACTATAAAAGTGCCACATTTCACAAGTTTTGTGGCCTTTCATTGTTTCTTTCTTTAGATGTTTCTGAGTTTAACAGAATGGTTCTAGAGTTTAACTGGAAGTATGTAATACAGGCAAAAACACCAAAATTCCAATAAAATAAGTCATGAAGGAAACACTGCTATTTAAGTATTTATTGCCTGATACTGGAATGAAAAAGAAAATGAAGATCATTTAAAAGGAAATGAGGGGCCAGGTGGGGAAATATCTTACAAGGTACTAATACTCTATCAATCCAAGGAAAGACACAGAAGAGATTTGATGTATCATCATACATAAGAATTTAGTTGATGCTTAAAAGAGTATTAGGAGCCAGTGAGCACAGTACTTACTAAGTCAGAGGGATAATAATCACACTACGATTTACAGTAAAAAGTCATAGTGGAAGGTGAACTTGAAGCAAGTGCAGTCGGGTTTCTGGGCAGGTGGCACCCTGGGAACTCGTCATAGCCCTGGGGTATTGCCCTCCTTTTGGCTCAGGGAACTCACAAGCCCCCCTCCCACAGCGCCTCTGAGCTGACCCCACCCAGCCTCCCCAAGTCTCACCAGCCCAGTGGGGATGAGCAGCCCCTTCCATGTTATCTGAACCCCACACCACGATGAGTTACGGCTGTGACCACCCTGCCAGAATAGGTATACATCTATCAGGTATACCTAAGATGTTCTTTATCTTGTATTTAGTGATAAGAAATGTAGGAACAATTTGAATAGCAGTGAAGTCATGACTAAGTAATTTCAAAAACTTATCAGCCATCATATTCCCAAAACACAGGATCCATTGAGGAATACAGCAACAGCTCCCTCAGGACAGAAAGGTTAGAAACCACCTGTTATATGTTGGATTCCCCAGAACATAGTCAAATGCCTAATACAAAGCTTGCACGTATTACACTGAATATTTGCTGAACCAAGACAGAAGCCCCGTCATGTGCCAGGGTGGGTAGGTAGAGAGAATGCAGTGTCGTCAAGACCACACCAAAGAATACTATTGGATCAGCACCTCTGAGGTCCTGTCTCCTGAATGCACTGGCCCTAGTAGACTCCTATCTCTGCCAACATTTGCTTTTAGACACAAATTACTGAAAAGCAGCACGGTGGAAACTGTAAAACTGTCAAAAAATTGGATTTTTGATTAGCCAGGGAGTAACAGTGAATCACCCAAAAACGTTATTTCCTCTTTGGAATCCTTTTCCTAATTAAAAAATTGTTCCAGGTGAATAATTAATGAAGTCATCTTAGTTCTAGAATTGTACCCTTGTAGGATAGATCGTCCTACATTAGAAAAATAAATAGAAGAGTGAACACCTCAAGCTGAGTGCTCGGTGGTGGAGTATTTGCTTAGCAGGTACAAGGCCTTAGGGTTTATTGCAGCTCTGCCGAGAAGGTTAAGTTGAGTTTCTTTCATAGAAACTGTGATGTGCCAGCCAGAGAATGAAGGCCGGTCCCTGCCTCATTTCTGAACAACTCAGAAGGTTCGCCCAGCCAAGAGCTCTGCTATTCCTTCATCGAGCTCGGGCTGCTGCAGGATCCTGCTGTCTTCCATTCCTTCAGGGTCATTCCAAGGGCATTTCCCAGGAAAGTAGCTACACACAAATCTCAATCTCAGTCTGGTTCCTGGGCATCCTGACCTTGAAACAGCCCCAAAGTCAAGCAACAGTGATCCTGGGAAAAGCCAGGGCATGACTCTTGATGATTTAAATCATTCTTCAGCAGACATCAAAACATTTATATGAAATATAATGGAAAAGCTTAATGTAAAATATTATCAAGATGTATCTGTGTCTTAAAGAAGATCTAATACACCTTTGTATTAGAATTAGTCCCTGCTGCCCTGAATTTATTGTCTGCAAGCAGAACTCGGATTCTCTTTATCTTTTTGAAAGCAGACAGGTGCATCGCCTGGCAGACCTCCGCAGCAGCCACATCGTGTCACAGGCCTGTCCCACTGCACAAGTCCCCAGGCTCTCCCAGGAGGATCTGCAGGTTACAGCGCCATTCAGATCTCACAACACCATGTCGCTCATTGAATCCCTTCCTGTGTTTGAATTTAAAAGCACAAAAACTCTTGAACAATTTGAACTTAGTTTATTCCCCACTTGAGGCAAGCACTGGGATCAGTGACAGGGACAGAATGTGTTCAGGACACTGGCAGTGTTCTTGCTTTCATCTGTCTGGTCCACATTCCTAAACCACAGCTGGAGGTCTTTCCTGGAAAGTTTACAGCACTGTTCAGATGCTGGCTGGCATAAATTAAGCCGTCCTTAACCACACCCAGCCCCAGCCAGGACGCAGTGTGCCTCTAACTCTGCCAGGCAACCCTCCTCCGCTTCCATAAATCACCCCAGCTGTGTGCCCAGTACGTCCCAACAGAGGTCAGTCAGCCCTCCAACCTGGCAAATTGCAGATGACTCACATCTTCTTCACTAATTAGGGCAGGTGGATTCCACAGTCTGTGGTTAAACCAACACACGGCACTGGGTCGTACCAAACTGAGAGCCCTTCTGGTTTGCACCCTTCCCCGTCCTCTCTGGCTGGAAGGGAGGGAAACTTGGCTCTGGGAGCAGTGGAGGAGACGCCCGTGTCCCAGGCGAGGCTGGCTTTCTCCTCATTCCCTTCCACCTTCAGCAAGGATGCTTGCTAAAATGTACTAGGCAATTTCGATTTTTACTACAGAAATTATTTCTGGGCTTATAATTTATTTCTGAAGGGGCTATCTGTTACTTTACAGATATCCAACTCTGCGTTTCAAAGTTAAATGGCAATGAATAATGCAAGATATACTGGTTGTGCTGCTCCAGCAGATCAACGCAGAGAAATGCAAAAATGTTCTAGGCAGCAAGGACGGAGCCCATCTGCAGTTTCCGGACAAAGTCACGGATCTTAAAGAGACCTGGCCAGGGACACAGCCACTGGGTAAACAAAGGAGGGGAGCGTGTGTGAGCTGCTGGGTTGAACTGCTTGGTCATTTATTATAAACAGAGGTCCAGGGCCGGGATGGGTGGCAGCCTGTGGGCAAAGTTGTCCCAAGTGCTCTCTATTCCTGGGTGGTACTTGGTTCAGAGCCCGGGACCTGCACCCAGGCCTTCTGGCCACGAGGGGCTGCAGGGGTCCCTCTGTCAGAAAAGCGTTTCCGGGGCTCCAACCGCACACTAGGCAGCTTGCAGTGCAGTGTAGGCACAGCTCACACCACGCCGCAAGCACTCCGCTGGAGAGTGGCTCAGGCCGGGGACTCCACCCCACCGGTCACCACGCTGTCCATCACCCTACAGGAGTGACTGTCCAGGGCAAAGTCATTCGAGTGAGTGCCCAACATGCCACGATGGCTTTCACACTTCCTGGTGACGTCAGGACAGCTCGGGCCATGGGAAGCAGGCAGGCAGCAAAAAGGCTGAAACCCCACACGGCGCCAGAGAGGAGCGCAGCTGCTCAGCTGCCTTCTTTAAAGACGGCAGAGGACATCACAGCGTCTCACTGTTCCTGAGAGGTCTAAATGGGGCGACCTCACAGAGGGGCCCTGCACAGGGGACCACACACGGGAAGTGTGTACAAGCCCTGCTCTGGTGATGATTACGGAAGGCAAAATTAGCCCTTCAAACCAGGAGGCCCTCTGCCTTCGCCACTCTGCTTTGTGGCTTTCCACCAGTGAATTCCGTGGACATGGGTAGGAGGGCTCACCCCGTCACTTCCCGGTGACCCCAGGAAGAGCTGGCCATGCTCCAGGGGGCCGGTCTGTCTCCCCGAACCCACCCTCCGCATTGGAACTGAGATCCAGGTGCTGTTTTCACCACTGGCTGCTGCGGTGAAGCCTAAGCCCTTAGAAGCAGATGGGTCCTGGGCACAGCCTGCTGACCGGCTCTTTCCCTGAGGCTCCTCCTTCTCCTCCTCACTCTGGGGAGGCTGGTGGGGGGCTGTATCTATGCAGCAGTGTCTCACCAGCAACTACCACAGGTAGCTCTGTCTGCAAGGATTCCATTTCCAAGTAAAGTCACCCTCTCAGGGCCACGGCTCTGACCTCAGCACGCCTCTCTGGGGAAAACTCTGAGCCACAGTGTGACCACGGCTTAGTGCTTAAATCCCTAGTCTCGGCACATCTCACAGCTGCAGAATATAAACTACGAGGGCCTTATTGC